CCTCGCCGTACCAAATTTATGTCTCAGTCTTTCGCCGCTGAGGCCATAAGGCTATGGAATAAATTACCCCCTCATATCAGAAAACCGACTTCTACTGCCACATTTAAGAGGATGGTGACTGATCACTACCTTTCTTCTTCCAACAAGTAACTTTCATATTTGTTTCTACTTATATGTGACTTGACATCTTAAATTATTTAATTTGTTTTAGTTATGTTCGTATGTAAGTATACTTAAAATGTATGTATTATGTACTATTTAAACATTATGTATGAAATGTATCATATATTACTTAGGTTAATTGTAGTTGTGTATATTTATTTTTGTATTTACACTTATGGTATGTCTATTTATATATTTACATTTACGTATAAATTATCCACATATTTTATGGCACCTGCTAAAGTTCTCTGCTTAGCCCATGGTTGACTGGTAGAGAATGCCTAAAGGCATTAAGTCCGCCAATTGTACATTTTAAGTGCAATAAAGTTTTTTTAAATTAAATTAAATTAAATTAAATACTGACCGACAGTAGGGCGGTACTACAAGCTCTGAGTTGCAATGGGGTGAACTCGGGACTAATATATGAATGCCATCAACGATTAAATGAGGTATGTAATAACAACAATGTGACTCTGCAATGGATAAAGGGACACAGTGGATCCAGAGGCAACGATGCAGCGGACGAACTGGCCAGAAGAGGATCGGCTCTGGCCACTATAAGGCTGGAACCAATCATACCAATCCCCTTTGGTAACGTTCGTTTACTGGTACGTAGACACTTCACTAATCAACACGTTCAGCTTTGGAAAAATCTAGTAGACTGTAGACAAGCTAGGGAGGCCCTACCAGTAATAAACAGTCGCTTAACCAAAGTTTTAATGAGACTGAACAAACCGCAGATCAGGATAGTAACAAGTGCTATCACAGGACACGGCACCTTTAACAAACATTTATTTACTATAGGTGTTACAGATAGTCCCCTATGCAGGGCATGTATGGGGGAGGAAGAAACGGCGGCCCACGTGCTACTGACATGTCCGGAGGTCGCTACGTACAGGGCTAAACATCTCGGCACGCCGGGATCACTCCCCCGAAGTTGCATGCAACATCAAGGGACTGTTGAGCTTCTTCGGGGAGATCTCATGGCTCGAATAATCACATTATTCCTGCCCACACGCAAAATACGCGCATAGACGTGGAGTTGCGGAAAACAGCCCGTCGCAAACTAAACTAAACTAAACGTATTTAGTCTTGCTATAGTCTCCCCACCATAACCTATCACAAGTCCACTACTCCTCCCTGCTCTCCCCCATAGATTGACACAAAGTACAGTTATGTGTTACGTGCATCCATCGACTACTCCATGTTTCAGGTCGTTACGCCAACGCCACAATATCATACCAGATAAAGATCTGGTATGATATTATGGCATCGTAAGAGGCGGTAGAGGGCTGTCTATTTTACTAAACTGGGAGAAAGGTTAAAGAATTTCCCTAATAGCAATAGAATAAACAAATAATTGCGTCTTCTGACCCAATTTTCAAGTGGAGCCACTATAGCTATGTGTTAGGCTCAATTCGCAAAACGTCTTCGATATTTGGATCGATGTTCAATGAAAATGACTTGCTTTGTATATGTGTATCCTCCTAAAGCCCATGTAAAATTTGCCTCGGTCCAGATTATCGCCCGATGTACATAAACATATTGTGGCAATGTGGTTGCCGCCCAAACCAAAAAAAAAATGTTATGATAACGATTTCTTAAATTTACGCGAACATTACACATTGAATAAAACTGTATTTACGGATTTTATCGCGTTTAATTAACTATTTTAACTTGTTTTTTATTCCTGACGTTTCGGGTGCTTTACAGCACCCATGGTCACAAGGGAGTGAGATGTCTGATGTCCCAATGTCGTAGTTAGCCCGCCTACCTTCAGTTTTCGAATATTAATTTTTGGTCCGATCTACGCAGAACAAGCTTGCAGTATCTTCAAGTCTTGCAGTGGTATGCTTGGGATATAATTTTATTTTTTCTATTGCGATGGTTTGTGGTCTATGAAATAATGTTTGGGACGATCTTGAACATGTAGACGTACTGCAGATTTCCCGGAGCTAGAATCTCATTATATTTACATTTTGATTTTGCCCACCTTTTACTAGTAAAGAGAAATACGAACAATAATGATGCTGACAGCTCTTAATGTCAGTAAAAAATAATGGGATTTTGTGTATTAAGTGTCGGCACATCTGAACCATACTCCTACGCCCGAATCGTCTACACGGCGAACTTGTTCCGACCAAGCCTCAATCGGCGTAATGAAGTCCTGATGACACACTATAACAGAGATAAAAATTATTCTAAAATATTTCGAAAAGTCGTGCCAATATACCATTTTGCTTTGTGTTATCTGATTGGGGAATATATTAGTGACATGTTTTTAGCTTGATTGTCCATGGCAATAAGAGACAATTTGCCATTTTATGTCCAAAGTGTGAATCATGGAGCGCACACGCGTGATTTCTTTATATCAAAATATGTAAAAGTTAAAGATAAAACAACAGAGTACTTTTGTTCTATTATTTCTCTAAATATTTATTTCTTAACCGGTTTTTTTTTCTCAGTTATTATGTTCATGTGTGAAAACATTTACTGGAACTATACTGGAAGACTTTAAGATACTGTAAGCTCGTTTTGTGTAGATCAGACCAAAATTAATAAACCAAAAAAATTTGAAGATAGCCTTCGTTAACTATGACATCAGGACATCAAACGCCTCAGACTCCTCCGTGACCATGGGTCATGAAAGTTCCCGAAACGTCGGGAATTAAAAAAGTTTAATTTAAACGCGATAAAATCCGTATTCGCGTAAATATTAGAAATCATTATAACTTTTGTGTTTTACTTAAAAGTTATTAAAGCAAAATGATTGGCTAAGGTTATGATAGCGATATCACCTCAAATTTATTCGCACTTATCTATTTATACAGGAGTACAAAAAAGTTTTCTTGCTATGTGTGTGACTACAGCTGGGTTTTATATCAACTGTCACCGAAAAAGGTAAAACGGGATTGCTAATCTGTGAGCGGCTTTTCATAGAATGATAGTCCGTAACTAGTTGCACTCGGCTTCGTAATCGACTGGTACTTAGAAATACGTGACATTAGTTGCGAACGATTCATACATATAAGCTTTTACTGGTTTTTTATCAAAGCTTTGTAAACACTGCGTGATAAACAGTAATTCTAGATAGGGCCTGGGCTTGAATATTTGCTATCACGAGTTGACTTCGGACCGTCGCATCGTTCGCCTTGATTCAATCGAATAAATTGCTTTCGTGGAGAGAGCTTAAAACCGTGTAAGTATAGACCAAGCGTTGCATTGCTAGATATATGGAATAACTTTCAAATGATATATATAACTTGACATTTAAGTTTATACGAAATAATTGTGCTAAATTTTCTTTGGCATTAATTATAGCCCTGAATAATTTGTTATATATGATCCTTGTGGCAACCTCGTACTGTTAAGCAAAGTGTAGGACAGTCTCCCAACTGGATAGAGTAACGACCTGGTAACATATGCAGGCAAGTCGATGAATGCAGCTGGGTTAGGAAAGTGATTTTGTGGCATTCCTTTGGGAAAGCCAATATTCAGCAGTGGAGCTGTGAACGACTGTAATGATGATTATGTTGATGATTCTTGTATACAACATGCAACAAAAAGCCTATGGTTCCCGTTAAGTGCGTTATCAAAACAGAACGTTTAGAAATACCTTTAATCATTCAGAAAAGAATTTTCTGAATTAAAAATTAAATTATAATTATATTGGTAGGTGTGCTTTTTACGAGTAACAATATTGCCATGGACCCCGCTTTGCAGATGTGCGTGTCAGCGCTTTATCGTCGGGGAGCAGCATTCAAAATGCGAGCAAGACGCCTGGATCTGCAATCGTTAATTCGCCTGACGAATGTGGCAATTAAAGTAAACCCTCCTTACAAAGGCATAATCCCATGTCCATCTGTGGACTTTTATTGGCTTTTTTTATAGGATAGGATGACAAAGGAGCACACAGTCCCCCTGATGGTAAGTGGTTGCTGTGGCCCATAGACCTACATCTATCCTCGATTACGGATCAAAATGCAGATGCGTTGTCATCCGTGAAGACTTAGGAGGAATGCCTCGTTTCCAGTAAAAAGGGTCTCCGGTTCTCTACACTCACCATACGAAACCTAGCAGCATTAAGCTACTATTTGACGCTGGTATTCTGTGAGAGATTGGTCCTTCCCCGGTCGAGCCGACCCATTCGTGCTACAACTATATTACTAATATAACTGCAGTATGGCTCTACCACGTGTAAAACGTGGCTGGGAAAGAAGAAACAAAAAAACATTTTTTATAGTTATTTTTTATCATTGGTTAGCAATTTTATTGCCACATCAACAGTCAGCTGCTGGATATAAATATTTCCATGGACGTGCCCGTTGGCGTGCATTACTTGGAACACCTACCTCTTTGCACTGGCATTGCAGTGGTTTTATATATTTATTTTTATTAACAAGTGTATGTCAAATTTGTGTTAGGTATTGAGCCATCAGTTTCGTGTTTAAAAATATCTTGATCCCCCTTACACTACCACTACACTACAATGCCACTACAATGCCATGTTATTGGTATTTCTATTTGCGATAAATATCACTATCGCATTGTTAAATACTGAACGTACTAATCGCATCCCTAGATTGTCACCGCAACTTTTAATCGTTTCTGTTTTGCATTTCGTAGCTACAGTTTTTTTAGCTACGCAATAAAAATATAAAAATGAAAATAAAAATTTAACGTTCAGAAGAGGAAGATGTACACGTATGGTACTATATCAATATCTTACGAAAGTGGAAAATGTTTTTATTGCAGTTCGGATTATTTATTATCTTGTGAAACATGTCTGATAGTGAATAATTACTCTATACCAGCTATGGAAATTTGTAAGAAATAAAATGATCGTATTTGTTACAGATCATGAAAGCCAGCCGACGGCACGGCGAGGTTCAGATGCGGGTGAATTCGATAACATGAATCTGAAAGCGGCCTGCACCGGCCCGTTTCTCACACTGCACAAGCGCCGTAAGCGGCGTCTGCTAACCAGATCCCTGCAACATGACGCAGCTCTGCTGGATGATCTACAACTGCGTCAAGTGCAGGCAAGTGGGGATGACTGATGATGGAAATAGTTACTGTTCGTATAGTTTGTATAGTTTTGCTGGCCGCTCCCGCCGCATCTGCGAACTATGCTATCTCAATGAATGTACTGGTATTGTTGTGTGGGTTGTACACGGCTTGTGTCTTTTTTGTGTTATTTTTAAGGTTATTAATTTATATTTATATAATATTTAAGTTAATTTTATCATTTAATAGTTTATGCCCAAGTATTCAAACGCTTTTCTTTTTAAAGTGGAAATAATGGCAATAAAAAAAGAATAAAAAACATAAAACCTGCTTTATAGTTAGTTCAGTTAGTATGCAAAATTTCATGATTTAAATTTAAAGTATTTTGTGAATACCAGCGGTTTATTGTTCGGTTTGAAGGTAACTTTGGAATTTTTTCTATCGAGAAAATTTTACTAAATCGTATTTTTGTCTAACATAGTACTTAACATTAATCCACTTTAGCATATATTTATTTAAAAATTTATGCTGCAATATTTTCGGTATAACGAGGATCTTGCTAAGCCATATGAGCTCTTAACATATTAGGCCATTAGTTTGTATGATTTATAAAGTGCACTAAAGTTAATTTTTTTTTCGTTCAATCTCCCAATTACGAGTATCATTATTAATAGATAAGTACGACTAGCATTCAATGAATTCTCGATATGTATATGTTAGAAAAAAGATAAAAATATGAAATATTTTTTATTTTTCAATATAGTATTAGATGACATCAATACATTCACTTGTTCGTGAAAAAAGCCTTTTTATTCTCTTGAAAAAATATTCTTCCTGTAAGTCTGAAAAATGTTCATATACGGACTTGAGCTCATTATCTTCAGCAAAAAATAAAAAAATCACTTTTCCCGAAGGCCGAAGGTCTTTGTCAATGTTTGGGAATAAAAAGTAGTCACTAGGGGTTTGATCTAGGCTGTATTGTGAGTGATTATTTTCCTCAAACCTGCAGTTTCGTACAGCAGCCTTGGACAGCTACGCCGTGTGAACCGCGGTCAGCTTTCCTCTTCTCTTTTTTATTGCTTTCCTCCATGCTCCCTACCTCTTTTGAATTCACTTGACCACTTCTGTATGGTTGACAATGAAGTAGCAGAGTCTTGGTAAACATCCACCATTTCTTCATGGTTGTTTTTTTTTCGAGTTTTTTCTCGTTTACTCGTAGTGAGGAATTTAATCCGCCGCATCGCCGCACGGTGTTCGAATTTTTAACATTGTCGAGTTTGTCATTCCAGTAGTCTATGACTGAAGGTTATATAAGAAGTAATTAAGTAATAAAGACGGAATTTCATATTGTATACTCTCAGATAGTGTCGTTAGCTAATGATTTTTCTTAATTACCCACATTATTAGCAAATAAACCTAATACCGAAAGTACATTGAACGCCTCTCGTATGAATTGAATTCTGTTAATAAGAACAAGACACATCATACAGAAATTATACTAAACTGAACTTCAAGAATAATCAAAAACTGATAACAATAAATTGGCTTGGATTTGAGTGGATCACGCTCACCGTCCCTAGTGTTTTAGATTGATTAAAATTCGGGATTATTGTTCATGTGAGCATGCCCCAGTCATGGTCATTTCGTGATCCTTCGACGGCGTCGAGACGATGTCGGACGTAAATTTAAATGACGATGTTTTGTATTCATGTGGGGACTCCAGTATTGTGGTTATAGCTGGCTTTAAAACGCGATTGAGTGAAATATCTTTTAAGTCACCGGACTTAAAAGACATTTCAGGTATTCCTATTATTTCTCATATGTCCTTAAAATTCCGATGAATTAAAAATGTGTTTAGCAACACACATGTTAAAGTATTATTTGTGATGACATATACAATTACTTTGACATCCTTAAGCAAATTAATAGTTTTATGTATTAATAAAAGTGATGCCAGTACTCTATTTCGTAATTATAATTTAGGTGAAGTGGGCGCCAAAATCAGATTTTTCACGTTTTATAGGTGCAACTGGCGAGTGTTTGGTCGGCCCGCGCGCTATTTATTCGCACAGTATTTATTTGATATTTATTTTTAAATATATATGTACTCTTTTAAAAAATAAACCCATAATTCACTCACATATTTACTGGTGAGCACATAGCCTGAATTTAATTGAAATTGATTTCATTACATTCGAATGATAAAGCTTTTTCACTTAGTGGACGTACCTAAAATTGTAGATTTTGAGGAAACTGCAATCTTTTTCTATCGAGCCAAGATGTGTTAATCGTGTTTTGGTCAACATAATTTCCTAAGAAAAATTTTTGTAGTTCATAATGATATTAAAAAAATATGTGGATTCCTAGTTTTTAATGACAAAAAATTTCTGCGCACCATCGTAAAGGGTGAAAAATCTGCTTTTGGAACCCACATTACCTTAAGTTACAAACTAAATTTAATACCGGAATAGATTTGTATGAACTCAATGGTCGAGTTTTGATTACTTTTTGTACATAATCATTCTGTTTATGATGTGTCTTGTTTACGTTCGTGCCACAGTGTAGGGGGCCGGTAGCCCAATGGGACCTTTGATTAACTCAGACAGGTATTTGATTTACAGCGCTACTGTCTTTAGATAAACGATAAAAATTCACCGCTAAATGTTGTTGATAAGCGTCTAAGAATACGCAACAGCTTTCTATTTTTTATCAAAAATAGCAGTAACTTGATTTCTACCTTTCATTTATTTTACATTCTCTTTTTTAAGTTCATACTTTAAAAGATCAATCGCAGATTTATTGTGAGATGCCGTAAAAAGCGACAGAAGGAAACAGTAATATAAGATAGGAAGCTGCAGCTTCGTGATGACAACTGGAAATAGTGACATAAAACCTGCAGTTGTCAACCTTCCTGCCAAACATACAACTGTACTAAATATCGTATAATATACGTTACGTTGAGCGGTAGACTGAGTTAAAAAACACGTGCGCTTTTTTAATAAAACTCTTTCATTTCAATAAAGACCAACGAGTTATTTGTTTACGCGTTCCCAAATCATTCGTTGTACTACCACGTATTTGGTATTAACATATAGAACATTCTTACTAACTTTCAATCATATTTAAGAGTTTTGTCTTCTTAGCTCGCGTCTTTATCCAAATAGCACTACGTAACGAAGAAGTAAACGTTTAATACACATAGCGAAAGAATGATATTGTCGAGTTTTGACATGAGTTACGGATCCATAATAACATTTATGTCCGAGAAAAGATGGTTGCAATTTCTGTGCAGCCACTTTTTGCATATTTCCTACATTCGTCGTCAATCGTACAGTGCTATGTTGACAAAATTAAGTATTAAAATTCCAACCTGATACAGTATACTCATTGACAAACCGCCAAGAATTCTAAAAACAAATCTGAGCGCATAGTTGTTTACGGTTTGCTCAAATTTAGTGGAGTGAGGTCGACGACTCACGGTTTTTGTTTTGTTTATAATTTCTTTATTTACGACTGGCTCAGCGTAGACGTAGTATTATTAATGGGAAAGAAAAGTTTGCACTTGCGATTAAACTTCAGTAGTTTGTTGTAGAATTTCGTGAAACTTTCTAATATGGTATTATTTGGTTATATTTCTGTCTGTATTACTTTTTTATCTACCAAAAAGTTTAATCGTTATTATATTCTCGGCGTCTCTTTCCCTCTCTTTCTCTGTTGTTTTTTTTCTTTTATTGTCTTTGAATGCATATGCGATTGTATGGTAGGCTACCTGTATGATGCTGAGTTGCGATTCTTATACTTATTTATATATTGATTAATAACTATGTTTGCTTCTTTACAGTGTATCCTCGATGAGTCTGCGCAGTGGAAGTTTAATGCATTTACGTTAGAAAACGTCTCAGGGGGTAAAATATTCTTTTATTATTTATATTTTAAAAGACGTATCTTCTGCATCACTTCTATAAACCCTTAGGATAATATATCACAATTCGATGGCTTAATACGTGTTAATTGTACTAGATAACAGATATCAGTGATGCTTTGGATGCGTCGTTATTTAACTTAATAATTTAGTTTCAGTTGTGTATGATAGTGTATAATTTTTAATAACGAAGATAGGTTTCAAAATCCAATTATACTACTCTGTCTAGAAAGTACCGGAAAAAGATAAATAAATAATACAGAAAATGTTAGTTTTTTATCCAAGTTTATTTTATAACCTTCAAAGTATGCTCCTTTAGAAACAATATACTTTTTCCAACGAATAATCCAATAATCAAAACATTTTAAACGCATTTTCCGGAATTGAACTCACAATGATCGACTTTAGCGTGGTTTTTTCGATTTTGGTTCAGTTCTAAGGCGTCACTCCGATGCGTGTTGACTAGTTTGCACGTCAATCTCGTGAACCCACGTCTCTTTACCAGTAATAATGCGTTTCTGGAATGTTGGTTCGGATTTGACTCGTTCTACCATGTCCTCAGCATCTCTTATGCGATTGAGTTTGAGGCAACATGTTTCATATCAAAGTGGTTATTTAAAATGGTACGGATCAACTCGTAAGTGTGTCTTACGAGTTGAAAGTTTGGCGGCTATCTCTCTGAAACTTGAATGATGGTTTTCAGTCACTATTTCCTTCACTTTTGCGATGTAACTTCAGTTGCAGGCGTTGATAGCCTACCAGAGCGAGGCAAATCTTCCATCACATCTCGACCGCTTTTGAACGCTTTGTACCACTCATAAGCACGTGTTTTGATAAAGTTGATTCACCGCAACGTAAGCCTTCCGTAACATTTTCAGTAACTCCGAACACGAAATTCCATTGGTGATGCAAAATTGAAGACAGACTCTGTTCGATGTTTTTGTCCATTGGGAAATTCGCAAAATACACTAGATATGAAAACATCACTGTTTTTAATCTTAATAACAGATGTAATTCAAACTCCGCGTCAAAATTGAAAACAGTTGTGCCAATCTAACAACAACAAAAAAAAATTGAATTTGGAATCATAAACAGATTATCCATTCCCGATACTTTTTTGACTGAATATAA